TAAGTATTCAAACCAAGTTAACCCTAAACATCTCTTATAATGGGCTAACAGAGTATTATGTTAGCATTAGTTTATGTATAGAAGATATGATAGAATCTGCATAGCATACTTATTTCTAATAGTAAGTGGGTAATTTTAATAGTAAATTAAATTAAAGAATAATGAAATAAAAATGAAAATAGAAATAGAAATAAAAAATAAAGAATAGAGACATAATCAAATAATCCCACTTAAAAAAACAATAAAAAACAATGTGTATACAAGGTATGTATTCTCCAGATCATATCTATTAAAGGGAAAAGGTTCCAATGTGGAACTACGGTTAAATAACCAAAGAAAAGAATATATATATATATATAATATATATACATATATATAGTTCCTAGAGCTATTATAGATCCCATGGTTAGGTCAGAAATTGAATATAAAATACAATCATAGAATCATAAAATATATAATTTATGAATAATGTAATCTAATGAAAAGATAACATAAATGTGGTATTTAAGGTACTCTTTATTTTTCAATGTAGTGTGTAAAAGTAAAACCCTCATTCAAACCATTGGGGGCTAAGGTGTAAAACCTATAAATCCAAAAGGATTCTCTTTTAAGAAGGACTTTATCCAAGTCTCCTCCCCTAGCTCCTGTATTGACTTTTTCGATGCCTGCAAATTTGATGACTCTTGAATCTCCACTGTGACAAGTCCTAATGTGTCTCGCCACTGGGGTTTCTCTGAGATTCCGAACGGAGTATACATGCTCCATAATTCTCTTTTTGAAGGGGCGTATCGTCTTGCCTACATATCTGAGGCCACACATACAACTCAGAAGGTATATGACTCCTTTTGTATTGCAGTTGAAAAAATGTTTTACCTTACAGATGGTTTCATTTGTTGAGTCTGTAAGTTCTTTAGAGCCCTTGTTGATGTACCCACAAGCCACACATTTACCGCATTGGTATGTCCCCTGTACAGAGAGCCAACCTTGTTTTGTTTTTTTTCGCCGAAAAGTGACTAGGTACAAGGGTCTCCTTTAGATTTTTTCCCCTACGTGCAGTAAGGGATACATATGGAGTAACAACTCCTTCTAGTTGTGGATCTTGTGACAGGAGAGGCCAAAATCTATTCAGTATCTTCTTAGCTTGTTCCCATCCTGCGTCAAAATTTGCTATACACCTGATGGGTTCCGGTTTGCTAGATACAGGTTTATCTTGAAGAAGACCTGCCCTATCACTTGTGAGTGCCCTCTGATACACATATTTTACACATCGGTTAGGGTACCCCCTCTCTTTAAATCTCATTCTCAGAGATTTAGCCTGGAGGATGAAATCATCAGTGTTAGAACAATTCCTCCTCAAGCGGAGGTACTGACCGACCGGAATTCTCCTCTTCAGGGTTTTGGGATGGTGGCTCTCCCACCTCAACATAGTATTAGTTGAGGTGGGTTTTCTAAATAAAGTACTCTCAATACAGTTTTCATCAGAAATTCTCAGGGTACAGTCTAAGAAATTAAGGGACTCATGTCCAATCTCCATCGTAAATTTTAAGTTTAAATCATTAGAATTGAGTCTTTTTACAAAAGCTGTGAAAGAATTTATAGTACCGGTCCATACAATATATAAAATAATAATCCAGAAAATACAAACATCTGAAAGTTAGAGAACCAAAAATATAAAATAATGTCAATACCTACTAAGGGAGAAAATCTCCTCTATATGCTCTATGTATGAGTTACTAGGAGGGCTCAGCCTCAGTATGAATATACACTAGATGCTCTATGTATGAGTTATTATGAAGACAGCCTCTGTATATGTATCCTCTATATGCTCTATGATGAGTTGATGTGAGCTTTAAATGAGTTACTATGAGGACTCAATCCGAGTATAGGCTCTATAGATGAGTTAATGTGAGAACTCAGCCATCAATATATGTATCCACTAGAGGCTCTATGTATGAGTTATTAGGAGGTCTCTGCCTCTCTATATATATATCTACTATATGCTCTACGACGCGTTGATGTAGGGAATCAGCTTCAGTATATGCACCCACTTTTATGTGCTAGGTATAGTTACTATATAGACAGCCTCAGTCTATATATCCACTACATGCTCTATGTATGAGTTTTTAAGAGGACACAACCTCTGTAGATGCATCCACTATATACTCTAGGTTGAGTTTATGTGAGATCTCAGCCTCAGTATATGTACCCACTATAGTCTTTATGTAGGAGTTATTAGAAGGACACTGCCTCTTACTATGTATCCACTTTATGCTATATGCTCCATATGTGTGTTTCTATAAGGGTTCGGTTTCAGTATATGTGATTTCTATATACTCTATGTTGGAGTTATGAGGACACAGCCTCAGTATAATGCTCTATGTAATAGTTACTATAAGGACACAACCTCGGTAATTCTATCCTCTATATGCTCTGTGTATGAGTTTCTGTGTAGACAGAGCCTCAGTATAGGTATTCTCTAGATGCTCTAGGGATGTGTTCTAGGAGGTTACTACCTCAGTATATATATCCTCTATTTGCTCATTGGTTACTGTGAGATCGCCACCTCTATATATGTATCCACATGTTGGGTTATTTCTAGGAATCCTATCAGACAGCTTTACTTGGGGGAGCTGGGGTAACCAGGGCTATATTTCTTTTCTTCTCCTCTCCTGGTTGCTCAACGCAATACTGAACATGATTCCTGGAGATCAGGATTACCCTATGCTCCATTAGTGCCTGAATTGGCGATTGTCAAAGAATGATTCATTTGTTTTCTCTTTAGGTCTATGTTTGGTAAACTTTATGGTTGCAATCATAGACGGCTGATACCGCACCTAAAATTTAGATAAATTTGGGATCAGAACAGAGGTAGACATGTCTGACGCCATCAATTCTACCAGACATCCAGGGATCCTTATTCCCTTTCAAGGAGTTCCTTAGTCTCGTGTTTCAGTCCAACAGGTTGTTGGTTTTGTTTTTCCAACCATAGAGTAAGGGAGTTGGTAGAAGCAGATCCGGATTTGAAAGATATTGTTCCATCATACTTCGAGGTTTAGGTTAAGGGAAAATCCGCAGTTTCGGGGGTTTCAGCCATGCTTTCCACCTTAACCCCTACAGTCAGTGGATGCAGTGGAAGGCCTTATAGATTCAAATGGACTCGTGTACAATGGGTTTTTATGTCAACCGGCAAGGAGGAATCAGAGTAGGCGCTCTTTATCACCTGTAGGCGATTATCTTGCTGTGGTGCAAAAATATCTAGTAGATATTTTGGCAGTTTTCTTTTCAGAGGGATCGACAATTACATAGCAGTCAAGCTCGGCAAGGGTAATTGGAATTAGAGAGTTTGGTCCTGAGGTCCATGTGTTGTTTTATGTTCTGGAGAGGAACTTCGATTTTCCAGACTTGACCCTTAGGGCAAGCATTACAGAAGCCAGGTTCCTCAAGTTTCCTCCCTGTTCAGAGCAGGTCCCTTCGATGAATAGAGATACTCGCATTGTAATGTAATGTCAGGCTGGCATCCGTCTTTCTTCCGCTGACACCATTTCCAAAGATTCTTTGGAAATTAGGGCAGTCGGAACTTTATCCAGGTTCTTATTCTACTCTAGGCCAAACCAGGTTCTTGTTCCCGACATTCAAGAAGATGGCCTCCACACAGTGGGAACATCCAATCTCGTACAATCTCATAATAAACAGGAATCTAACCTAGGGTTCAGGTTTACGGCCTGGCTACTGCTATGTTAAACTAGACTTCCTGCTTTTTCGGTCTACTTTCATATAAATGTCAAGTTTCTTTTTTGATGGTGGGAACACCATTACCCGCATGTTCATCTGTCTCTAAGACCCATGTTTCAAATTTTTCTGGAAGTTTTTTTCTGTAGACTTGGGTCTTTCTGCTTTGAAGTTCAAGCCTCAGTTCTAAGACTCACTGAGAAAGAATTTGCATCCGTTTGTTAATCT